GACACTGCTGTTAGCAATTGGCTGCCACGTTTCTTTCGCCCACAAAATATTCACTTTACAGTATATTTTATGAAGCGCTTTGAGACGTCTCAAAAGACGTGATCAGCCAAATGCAAGGATTATTATTCTTTCTTTCCTCTCTTTGCACAAAGTGGCTTGGTATTTCAGAGTCATTAGTTGGGTTTTTCTTCAGGTTTAAGCTTTGTTCTAAAACTCTGCTCCACATGTAGTTGGGATCTGGCTTGAGCAGTGGCCACTTCTAGTAAATATTGTCGTAAGTGAAGGTTACTAATGAGTGTGGTGAAAGCAGGAGCTGAAATGTTCAAGTGAGGATTAACATTTCTGATCCATCCTGTAATTTTAAAACTTCACCGATAATGCCTGTTGAGTGCTAGATTGTACAGGAAAATACAGATTGTTCAGCCTGTTGGCGTTTAGTCTTACTTAAAAAGATAGAACTGTGTTTTTATAGCAGCTCATCATGTTGAAACTTAAGGATGCATTCCCTTCTGCTTTACCAAATAATTAACCCTCGCTCTGTGCACACACTTGCATGCACGTTCCCTCCTCCCTTTCTTCCCCACCACCTCTCCCCCCACCACCAACACACACACCTTTTCCCCTTTTCAGATCTCCAGTGCACACCTACAAACTTCTAGCGAGAGAGCACGTCACCTGATCTCACGCTTCTCCTTAGCTCGCTGCCGGATGATGTAAAGGAGCGACGTGGTGATGGCCTTTCTCTCTGATTTATGTACTAGAAAAAAAAATCCAATTTTTTTTTAAAAAAATTAAAAATCTGTTTCACGAATGGCCTTGGGCCAATTTAAAGGAACAGAATAATTATGGGGTATTATAAACAAAATGTTTCAAAGTGCTGTTTGGTTACCTGTATCCATTATGGACTTTTCTGCCCAGCTTTGAATCATTGCCCTTTGGCTATATAGCACATGACACACTACAAAAGACTGGAGGATTAGCAGATTGAAGGATCTGTTGGTGAAACCTGACCGTGGCCCACAGCAAAGAAACACATGGAGAAATATCACGCCTTTTCGGTGCGGTCATAATATTTTAAGGAAAATGCTGTGGTCGCCCTCCTCCGTTACAGTCTAGGTTCTGTGTCAGCTTAGCTCAGCCGGCAGCATCGCCACCTCTGGATCACAAGGCTGTGGATTCGAGCCAAATATCAGGAGTACAAACGCAATATCTTGGCTGACATTCCAGCGCAGTTCAGGAGGCTCCTTGCGTTTACAGAGGTGCTGTATTTCAGATGAGCTGTTAAATCAAGGTCCCATTCACATAGACTTTAAAGATCACATGGACCTATTCAAAAAGAGAGGTCCAAGCCAAAATTTCTTTGGATTACTTACTTGGTCATTCATCTCATAGGCTGTTTGTGTGACCTTGCTGGTACAAATGGCTACTTTATGTGCGTACAAGTACAGCCCTTCATTTGATGGTGATTACTCATGCAGCAATTATAACAATTGTGAATATTATTAATAATAACGAATAATAATCCTTGCACTTGATATTGCAAATATAACGTGGTTGAAATGTCGTGGAATCCTTATCCTCCACCTGAACAGGCAGACAGGACCTTGGTTCAATGTCTCAACTGAAGGAGTTTCAAATATTCTCAAGGTGTGAGAATTTCGATTCCCATTTCAGCTTTGGTGGCATTTTATTTGGTGAAGCCCATAAATATGTTGGTAAATATGACAGCGACGAGATGAATTTAGTTTTTCATTCTATGCAGTTAACCGCTTGTCAGTTCCACTCCATGCAGTTTGCTGGCTTCTGAGTGTAATAGCAGAGAAGGTTCTAATCAGACTGAGTAACGCCATTTAAAGTATAGAATTTCAAAGCATAAATTGTGTTAAGGTGAACAAAATGAATTGGGCATACAGCAGGTGAAACCTTTTTCACCTTTTGAGCTTGGTAGGTGCATTTCTGAACGTACCCAACATAGTAATAAAAAGTAATTTTCTTCTTCCTTATTATAGCTTAGCATGCTCTTGTCTTCAGAACTATTTTGTCAAAAAATAGTTTGGCTTTTAGTTTCTAAAGCTTAGTGCATTTAGGTTGAAACCTTTCTGTTGTGGTGAAGTCTGTCTGGCGATGCTGTTAGAAATTATTAATACTTTTAAGTGTACTACATTTTCAAGCGGTGTATAATTACGGTTGTTTTCGGCCTTTATGATATATCGTTCATGACAACCAATGTGAATAGAACATCCAAACAAGAAGATGTAACGTATCTAAGATTTAAAAGTAAATATTATAACTGTTATAATGGGATATATTTATATTTTTAATTCTAATAATAACTTGCACTTTTGTGTAAAATAGATGTCTCAGATTTCTTTATAATTTAACAATAACTTGCATTTCTATAGCTCCCTTGATGTAGGATAACGTCCACTCTGAATTAGAAATGAAATGAATATTGTATATGCAGTAGTATTGCCTTGTCGGCGATGAGATGAGGCAGCCAATTAGAATTTTTAGAGAATATATAACCTAGGTTAATTGAGAGAAAATCTCACTACTTCTTTGAAAGTGCTGTCCTATGTGGTTTCTGAAAGTTTACTTGCATTAACATTCAACGACAACTTGCATTTTTTTTAGCACAGCCCTCACACTGGGACAGGGTCTCGGAGATTCAAATGTCGACCACAGCGTTTTATGAGTGACTTGCTGTTTATCGGAGGAAATGTAAATAGCTCAAGTTATAACAACCCGGTCATTTAATGTCATGATGACCTACAAGCTGGCATCACTGCTGAAGTCAATGTGACAGAGCTAGCGAGAGAGTGCAGCTTCCTACTCCCACCTCTGCCCTCTCCCCTCCCCAATCCCGACCCCCAGCCTGGGTCGGAAACCCTAACTGTCCAGGACCTTGGGACATTTTGTTGTTGTTTTCACCGTTATCGTAAATCTGCATCCTCTGGTCAGCATCTCGAAGACTTGATAAGGTACTATATTAAATGCAAGGATTATTACATAATATTGACATCCGTAATTAATTATAGTCACTCCACTGTTTCAAGACTTGCCTCTTGACTGCACTTTCTGTCTTCTTTACCCTTTCCACTCCTTTTGGCTCCCAACCCTAATTTGAGTGCTCAGCCAGGAGTGTTGAGCACTTTGAGACGTTCTCTCGATATGAAAGGTGTTATATAAATGCAAACTGTATTGTATCACTGACCGACTTGTTTGTTTCGCCCACATAAGTTCAGACCTAAAATCAGGATATTCAAGTTGTATCTAAAATTGAGAATTTTTGAAAAAAATATTGTGGGGTTGGGGTGGGGTGGTGTGCTGGGGGAAGTTTTTTAAAAAAACCTTCTGGTGACTAAGTTTCACTTTGATGCGCTAATGAAGATGCACAGGACAACAGGTTGCATGTGCGGCTGGCTCTTCACCTTCACATTGCACACAACTTCTGAGCAAAAATACCCGTTGTACGATCTCTCTGCCTGTATTTGCACGTGGTGCGTAATGTCACCCAACCTGTATTCTGTGTTTTGTGCTGTTTGATGCTATTTGCACTAAATCCCCGGCTGACCGGACTAATAGGGGGAGATCAGGTCTGCCGAGCTGGAATTCACGGCTAAGTGCAATTACAATGTTGATACCGATAATTGCTGTGTGCAGTCGGCTGCGGTGTTTCACCCACAAAATACGGTCTCTACACTTTACAGTATATTCTGTCTTAAAGACGTGATAAGCCGCTACATCAAATGTAAGGACTATTATTTACCGGCATTGTAATTGCTTGAATCCCGCGAATAAGCTGTCTAGTACTCGCTGGACTCAAACTGCGTCAAAGTCGATATCCCTGGCCACTGAAGGCCAGCAAGCAGGATCTGTGTGAGTCTACACACCAGCGGGTACGCAAGATTTTTTAAAAAAAGATTTGAGTCTAGTCCAGTTAGGTATGAATTACCGAAACCCGGAAGCTGGGAAGCCTGGGCTGTGGGGTTAATGTACTTTGAGAATATTTGAAATAATAAATTGAACCTATTTCTCCTTTTCTTCTCGTTCCCCCACCTCCCTGCCCTGAAATAAAAAAGTGCTTGTTTCTTAAAGTATGATTACAGCTCCTTGGATTAGCGGAGGCTCATTATTCGGGGGAGTTCGTATATTCAATCAGATCCTTTCACTTTTCTCTTCACCTGGTAACAATTTTATGGGGGGGAGCTTTCAGCTCTGGCTACTTTCCTGAGACTCACAAGGCTAAAATGCCTTGCCCATCACCAGGATTACAAGGGTAATAATCATGGAGGATGAGGAGGTCTCTTTTGAGGGCAAAGCTACGTGTAAGTCGGTGGATCTTTAATGATCATCTCTACCAGATGTCCAAGTATTTTGGTTGAAGAAAGTTCCAACATTCAGTAAATTCACTTGAAATAATTATGTAACTTTAAATATGATTCTGTCTATATTCTCAATGCTAATAAGTTTACTTCTGCGGAGAATGCCTGTTGGATAGTTGCTGGACTTCATGGAAAGCTTATTAGCCCAAATGAAACCAATCATTTTAATTCTAGTGAAAACCACAGATGATAAACAGTTCTGCTAAATGTTACATTTTGTGTTTCCCCAAATCCTATTTATGCTAATTTTGATGTTTGAAATTTTGAATTTAATAAAAACTAAGCGAAAATATAAAATTCACTAATCAGCTTCAGCTTCCACTCATTAATTGCACGACCATTTTTTTGCGGTGGTTGTGGTCTGTATCTACTCTACACAGTGGCAATAAAGATGCCATTTAGCATCTTTCTAGAATCAAAAACTATAACGGGAATTGTGCAAAAGGGCCTCCAGTTAATGTTTTAGAGCAATATTAATGTAATTTAACGAATAAAAAAAAATCAGAAATAAATAAAGCGAACAGACATCTCTTGGTTACTATGTGCAGTGCAAATGCAAAACCACAGCATGAATCGATCCTTTACCTTTCCTTCTTGCTTCCTCCCTACCTTCAGTTTCCATAGCAAGACGGGTTCAGGATCCATTGGCCGAAATGGTGAAAATTGAGCCAAAACATATTGGGGTTGGAATGTACCAGGTAAGAGATCTATGATCCATTTCCTTAAGGTAATCTGCTTTACTATCAGACACTATAATGAAATAGACATTTAGAAATGTGGCTTTGCAGTTAAGCATTTGCCAGTTCTTAACTTTTTTAATAACAACAAAATTAGATTTGTACAGCGTTTTTCATGTCGGAGGACATCGTGAGGGGCTGGACAATTAGTGCTTCAGTCTGGGGGGGGGGGTCGGGATCGAGGAGGGTGGAGGGCAGAGGGGGAAGGACGGTGACCGAAGGCTCGGTCGAAGAGGAAGAGGAGTATTTTGAGACGGGTCTTGAAAGAGGGAGCGGATGAGGTGGACGGTCTGCGGGATGGATTTCCTGAGGGTGGGGGCAGAGTGGCAGAAGGCCTGCCCGTCAGTGGTGGGGTGGGCGAGACGGGGGACGTGAAGAAGGCCGGAGCCCGCTGAGAGGAGGGAGCGGGCAAGTTGGTAGTGGGTTAGACGGTCGCAGAGGTAGGGGAGCAAGATCATGGAGGGCTTTGAAGGTGAGGACCAGGATCTTGAACTGTATCCTCTGTGGGATGGAAAGCCAGTGGAGTCGGGTGGGGGTGATGGGGTCCTGGAGCCTGGTGGGGGGAGAGGACACGGACTGCAGAGTTCTGGATGATCTGCAGCCTTTGGATTGAGGAGTTGGGGGGCCGACAAGCAGGGAGTTTGTGTAGTTGAGCCTGGATGTTATGAATGCATGTGTGAGGGTCTCAGGGGCCTGTAGTGTGAGACAGTGGCGGAGCCGGGTGATGTTGCCGAGGTGGGGGAAGGCAGAGCGGGTCATGGCACGGATGTGAGGTAGAAAGGATAGTTGAGCGTCAAACAAGACCCTAACTCTGGACCGGCTTGGCAAAGTGGAGTGTGCAACCATGGACGGTGATGCTTTCAGCGCCTGAGGTGAGGAGGCGCTGACGGGAGCCAATCAGGTCTTGGTCTTGTTGACGTTCAACTGTAGAAAGGTTGCTCTTATCCAGGACTTGATGTCTGACAGACATTCTGTCAGGACAGCAGTGGTCCTGGAGTCAAGGGTGGAGGCAGAGAGGTACAGTTGGGTGTCATCTGCATACAGGTGGAAATTGACCCCATGTCTGCGGATGATGTCACCACGAGGGAGCATGTAGATATTGAAAAGGAGGAGATTCCCCAAAGGAATAGTAATCAATAAATTTTTGATGTATCACAGAAGACTCCACTTGGACCTGGTTTCATGGAAGTCAGAAATATAAGATTTTCACAGCCAACCAAATGGCCAATAAAGGTTATGAAGCTTTTTCTGTTTCCCACCCCACACCCACCCCTCTGCGGGCTTTACCGTAAATCATCCAGACTCTCAGAAATAGCTGCAGTTAGATTTCACAGTCTGTTAAAAAGCCATCAGATTGGACCTGTAACTCAATCTACATAGCCTTTTCCTTTCCACATCATTATCGTGATACGTTTCAGTGCTTTGGGTGAACTCGTACTTGTTATTCTAAAACCTGCTCCAGGTTTGTCTTTGTTACCAAAATGTGTGTTTTTATCAATTCTGAAATGCTTGTTTGGGCCCTCGCTTGGGGTGGGGGAAGGAAGCTTGTTGGAAAGAATCCAGTTGTCACAAATTGTCACAAAGAGTTATCGGCAAGATTTTAAATGTTGATACGTATCTGTAGCTTGTTGTCTAACTATGATACTTACCAATACTCAGTGTATGGACTATGCGCAGTTTTGTGTGGTGATAATTTCATTTTGTTTATTTCTTTTACAATCCTACAACACGAACGGCAGTATTTGACTTCTGCTTCTAAGCGGCCTTTGTTGTAGACTTGCATCCCAATAAAACTCATCCTAGGTGGACTGCATTATCCAGAGTCCTGCGCTGCAAAATACTATTGCAATAAAGTACTTTACACCATGGGTGGTGTCTGGGACTATAATCTTATTGCGGTTTATAGTCAATAAAGACAACTGAAACCTGTATGGTTACAATGTGGCTTGTTGGAAAAGTATATTCACAGAGCATATTACATAAAACAATGGTCACCAACCTTTACGGTTGCCTAACAAATACATTGTTCTGTATTGAATTTGTCTTCATTTTTGTCTGTGTTGAATTTGGCTCCTAGAACTTTGTTTCACACTTGCTTGGACTGGAGTGAGTGTTTGGCAGGCCACTTCTTGTCGCTGCAAAAATCGATCACGATCAACCGGTTGGAAACCCCTGACATAAAATATGACAGCACAGAAACAAGCCATTTATAGCCCAACTAATCCGTGCTTCTTTTCTGACCTCGTACATACATGGGAACTGACAGTTGTTGAGATTACAACTTTTTTGAGAGATTTGTTTAGTAAAACCTATGCCATGACCCGCTCTGCCTTCCCCCACCTCTGCAACATCGCCCAACTCCGCCACTACTTCACCCCTCAGGCCACCAAAACCCTCATCCACGCATTTATTACATCCAGGCTTGACTATGCTAACTCCTGCTTGTCCGCCTTCCCAAATCTTCTCTCCACAGGCTGCAGATCATCCAGAACTCTGCAGCTCATATCTTCTCCCGCACCAGGATCCGTGACCCCATCACCCCCACCTTTGCTTGGCTTCACTGACTCTCCATCCACCAGAGGATAAAGTTAAAAATCCTCACCTTCAAAGCCCTTCATGGCCTTGCTCCTTCCTACCTCTGTGACCTGCTAATCCCATATCAACTCGTCTGTTCCCTCCGCTCAGCAGGCTCCAGCCTGTTCCACGTCCCCCGCCCAGCCCATCGTCAGTGGTCGGACCTTCAGTCTCTCTGCCCCCAGCCTTTGGAACGCCATCCCATAGCCCCTTTGGTCACCCTCGGGATACAGTATAGGACACGACATGTCAAGCGACTACCAGTTTGGTGGAAGGCAAACCAGATGGACCTTGGTCTTTCACTTAACAAATTCTTATGTTCTTATTTCTAAATTTAAAGCACATATTAAAACTGGATCATTCACTATTTTGTAATGCAGTTCATTTCTCTGGCAGCTAAATAGTTAGGAATGATATGAAGCCGCATTGTCACAGCTCCTCTCCAAGGCAGTGAAGCATAAAGCATTTTGTTTTTTAAGCTGTGAATGACCTAATCTGTTTTGTCTGCTCATTTAATTACTGAATTGGCAGCCTTGTAACTATAATATCCTGGTTAGGGTGACCTAACTTCAAATCTGAGTTTTGATTGACATTCATACTTGGCATAAATCTGGAGGTCAGTTTTTCTAGCCTCAGCAACGTTGTCTGTGGGAAATAGGAAATCTCTCTGCTGATCCCTTCCTGGAGAGCTCAAGCAATCATTTGACGAATCAACCAACAAATGGAGCATTGACTGAATCGTTGGAGATATCAGTACTTTTCACTCTGACTTCCTGACTGAGTTGCTGGTATGGATGCAGGAGAATGATTGTGTATGTGGTGTGTGTGTAGGAGGAAAGAAAAACAAGGTGAAAATAATGCGTAGAATAAGTTGCAGTTTTGTAAAATAGCTATTCAGCAAATGGAAAGGTACTGCGGTTTGTAGATTGTCTTCATAATTAGAATTTATCACACACAAGTAGCCTAGGAACACTAAATCTTTACTCAAATAACTTACTCTGGCTCCATAGAACTGTGGATTTTTTTTTTTGTGTGTGTGTGTTGCAGAAAATGTCAATGGAATTTATATTTTTTTTTAGAAAAAAGCATTCAGCAATGCCTCACTCACATTGATAATTCTGCCTCACGCCAGACGAGGTGCCTTGGGGCATAATGTGCGTCACTTCCAAGGAACTCAGACATCACTCTGACCCACTAGGACTCCCAAAGTCTTGAGATTAAGCAGAATTCACGTGGGCTGGAGTGATGTGCATAGGTTTCCTGCAGTTGTTACACTTCACTTAAGTGCTCCAGCACACTACCCCACGTGAAGAGCGCTATATAAATGCAAGTTGTTGTATTTGTTGTTGCTTGTGTCCCAAGACGCCACTTACATGCCTGTTCTCCTGACCGGAGGAAGGCTGCTTTTTCGACTCCAACCTTTCCTCCTCCTTTTTTGTTGCCTTGAGCTGTGTTGCAACTCATAATAAAACGTGTTTCAGCTCATAGTAAAACTTAGTGTGAAATTAACCCAATTGCTATTGAAGACTTTTCTTTCTTCCAGGCAGTCTTTGACTCAGTATGATTTTGGCTTGTCAGTACATATTGTATTACAAGTATGTCATAGTACTAGGGTGTCACTCATGATTAATAGACTTCATTTGTGCTGTTGGATTGTCGGCATTAAATGCTATTAAAGGATCAACGCTTCTGTTTTTTTGAATGGAGTTTTAATTCACGCACATTTTCGAATAAAGTTCCCAAGTGTTGAGGTTGAAAGATCAGTGTCCCCTCTATTAAGCCTGGCCCTGGAACCTTCCGATGGTCATGAAGAGTCATTGAGGGTCAAGTGCAGTGACGTTCATGATTATTTTCAACTCTAAATTGGCTGTAGAGTTAGGAATGTGCAGCTTTCTTTTCCCCTGCAAAAATAAATCCAAAATAGTGGATCGAGCAAATCTCAGTGGGAGCAATCTGTTTTTCTTTGGGGTCACTTTTCTCCCTTTTGTGCATCTCTCTCTCCGCCCCCCCTTCCCCCTCCCCCATCTTTTTCTCTCTTCTTCCCATACTGCCTCCACTTTTAAAAAAAGCACGCCGAACCTAACTGTTACACGATTTAATGATTACCAGCAAACCAATTCATTGTGGGAGACTTTGCCAGGCTTCCAAATCGCAAACCTCCATCCACAGTTGGATAGAGATCAGGAGACAAAATCCTACCTGCTTGTAGCACTCCGACTGAGATCAGCTGACTCAGCTCTGACCAGAGATCGAACCTGATGAAGAAACTCTGAGACTCCAAGTGACGTATGTGGAATTGCTTGTAGGATATGCGCATTACGCCCCAAGGTACTTTTTCTGGCTGTGACAGCTGCTGCAAGGAGTTATCTGGAATCCGGGTTTGCGAA